ATTTTGGAAGGTATCTGTTGGAATAGCTCTACATTCCTATATTGGTATTTGAAAATGTTCGTTCAGAATTTGAGAATCGTCTTTATTATTGTTTAGCAAACAACGGAGAACATTTTGAACATTTGTTATAATAAATGACAAAATTTTATGCAGTAACTAAGTCTTGCTGTTTTCTTAAATATCTCCTAAAATAGTGATCAAAATAAAAAATAGTTCCTATAGAAGTTACTTGTTTTTTTGTGTAGAATAAAATTCTGCAATAAAAAATATAGGTTTCCATTTAAAAAAACAAATTTGACCTTCAAATTACGTTGAAAACGCCTTCCAAATAAAATTAATAATGCCGTTCTCTTTCCCCCTCGAAATCATGGAAAACGTGTTTTAGCTTTTTTGTGTATCTTTCATACTTTTCGAGATAATCAGCTGGAAAGTTTTCAAATGAACACCCTGTATAATGTTATTGCATGGTAGATGATAAATAATATGCTAATTACACATGTCATAAATATGGCAGTTACTCCAGATATCTCAAATCATTTAAGTCGTCATGGTCAAGATTGATGCTGGTCGTAATACTTGAATGTAAAACCTTTGTCAAATCTGAATGAGATAAATCTATGAGAAACTTTTGAATACTTATTAGAAACGCATATTAATTATTTTATTTGAGGTATGCACACATTAAAAGTATATTAAGCTTGACTTAAGAAAAGTAAAAATTTTAAATATAATATTAAAGTTTACCGTTCTTTTTTCTTTAACGTTGTGCACTTGTTTATTGAACAGGCATATTGGTTTCTCCTTGTGGATTTCAATTTTTTCCCAACACATTTGAATGTTTTTTAAATATGTGATTACGTAAAGCATCCCAACGAGCAACTTTAAGCATAGCAAAACATTCAGTACACATCACAGTATCTTTATCAAGCTCTATAATATAGTTCCATATAAAACTTGATTGAAAATGTTTTTCTAAATTTGCATATATGTCATGTTTCTTATTTAAATGTGCATTCAATTTTTTGCTTGAAGTTTTGATCACATAACTCTCATTACAATGATTACATTTCATGCGCGAATCGTCAGTGTTTCTGAAATACTCCCATTTCGGATGAACATTTCTATTCATGTTTACATTTAAATGCCAATTTTTGAAATGATTATTCACGCTGGCCATACGTCGGTACTTCAAAATGGTTGGATCAGAACGTGGACACAATTTACATTGTGCTCGAAAATTCTTCAGCTTTTCAAAATATTCCAACTCCCATTCTTCTTCATCGATTGGTGTAGACATTCTGGCCGGCTTATGCAATGGTAATATCAAGTAACTAAGTAGGAAGAAAAAAAGAACGAACGTGGCAACATGAGATAATGCTTTAAAATTAATAAAAATTTCTAATATAATAGTATTAGTAAAACTTACCCTTGCTTTTTCTTTATCGTCGTGTACTTGTTGATGGCCTAGGTACATTGATTTCTATTTGTGTATTTGCGTGTGGTGTCTTTCGAGTATGTGCTTGTTTATATGACACGAAGAACTAAACTTTAAGATCGGACGACACTCTTTGCAATGCGCGCAATAATCATTATGCTAGGTGATATTCTTTAATATGAAGATCACAAACGAGACGTGGGATCTTCTTTTAGAAGTATTTTATGTTATGATAAATGTTGATTAATGTCTGATTAATGTTGTCGCATTATATATATTAAAATATTTGTAATATCAAATATTGCATTAAAAGTGTAAATTTTATTGCAGCCAAATCTAAGGAACTTTTCTATTTGTTTCTATATTTAGATGTGTATCTTTGAAATGCGTATTTATGTTTCTCTTATTGCAATTATATAAGTAGCACACAGTATATATTTTGCTTGAAAATTTATCAACTTTTTAAAATATTTTTACTCCCATTCTTCAAGATTATTTGATGTAGAGATTTTGACTGCTTTATGCGGCAAAGTACAACTGGTAAATCTCGCAAACCCAAAAATTTTGATCTCAATGAAACTGTGCACATATATAAATGCGGTAAATACAAAAGCATAAAAATTTTCAGTTTTCGATTTTTGACATATTTAATGAACTATTTGTTAATAGTTTAATCCAACATATATTCATTTGAAGATATTCTGTTCAATAGAAAGTTTTTTATCTAATTATTGCGATTATATATAAATGGCTTTCAATATTTAGACTAAAAATATTTTCCTGTTATGTTATCATGCAAAAAATTTTCTTGGACATAAAGAATGCCAAAGGCAAAATTAAAATAAAATAATTTTTTTATTAATCGCAATAAATAAAGATGTTTTTAATATAAAATTTTTGTAAAATACATTTTTTGATATTTTAAGTAGTTTATGAAAAATATCGAAAAAGAAAATATCAAAAGCTCTTGAATCTTTGAGAGATGAGTTTACATCTTAAAATTATTTTTAGTACTAATTGAAAATGTTTATATTGAAGTTATTGTAAGTGTGATGAAATAGAATTAAAGTATTTACTTTATTCACGAAAAATTTCATTAAGATCAGAATTTTTGGGTTCTCGACATTGTTTTATTAGTAAGCAAAAGAAAATTGTGCGTATCTTGGATGAATAAATTATAACTCATTTATTTTAACATGCTATTTTATTAATGGTAAAGTGTAAATTTTGCACTTGCATTGTATTTGTTACAGCTAATTAATCGCATAATAATTTTAAAATCAATACTAACTAAATATTTAAATTAACAAATTTTTATTTGCCCATTACATTTTGGGCATTGTCTCCACAAAAGTTTTGATGTCAAATTCAAATTTCATAAAACGCTTAAAATATTATAATAGAGATACATAAGTATAAAAACATAATAAAAAAAATAAAATGGGAGTAGAATATTTGGCAGTTAATTAACGAATAGTTATTAAATTATACATGTCTGCAAAAATGTATTGCTCGTTAAATCGATTTACATTATAAACATAAATATTTATGTACACATATGTAAGAATTGAATATGAAAAATATTACGGTCATATTATTCGTCGTTGTTATTTTATATATTTATATTTATATATATATACATATATATATATAATATAAATGTATAATATAATAAATAATATAATAATTACATACATCACATAATATATCATCATATAAATGTATGATATATAATATAAATGTATGATATAATAAGTAATATAATAATTACATACATCACATAATATATCATCATAAATATTACATCACAGATATGACAGTTTTTTAGATACTTTGAATCGTTTAAGTTGTTAAAGTGAAGATTGTTGCTACTTCTGGTCACGGTAATTAAATGTAAAACCTCTGTCAAATCTGTTTTGGACAAACCTATGAGAAATTTTGAAATACTTATTAGGAAGACATTAATTTTTTTATTTGGGGTATGCATATATTATATATGAATGTAGCATTAAGCATGACAAAAAAAAAGTGAAAATTTTTAATATAATGATATTAATATAACTTACCGTTGTTTTATCCTTTAACTTTATACAATTATTGATACTCAGACATAATGGTATTTCTTTGTGCAGTTGCATTGGTTTGTTGTATATTCCATGTATAATTATGCATTTTGAACATGTGATGATTCATGTGATGCATAGAAATAATCTCTAAAGGCGCAACACATTCTTTACACAGCACGTGCAAATTGTCAAACACTGTTACATGATTAAAAATAAAGCTGGTCTGATAAGTTAAGTCTTCTTCTGGAATTATGTAATGTTTAGATAAATGTTCTTTTAATTCTACCGTTGAAAGTGAACCTCTATAAGGACATAAAAAACATTTCATGCTTGAATAGCTAATTCTTTTAAAATGCGTATGTATCCAACGTATTTGTGTATTGTTTGCTATATCTGGATGTTTTAGTCTGTAATGATCAAACAATAATTGCATATTCCAGCAAGTAACTGTGTTATTAATTGAAGGAGCTCCACACAATTTACATATTACTTGATAACAAGTCCATTTTTGAAAGTATCTCCATTCCCATTCTTTTTGATCGTTTAGTGCAGACATTCTGGCCGATTTATAAGATAGAGTGCAAATAACTATGTAAGAAGATAAAAAATGAACAAGGCAACGTAAGATAATAAACTAATATTAATCAATATTTCTAATATAATAATATTAATAAAG